GCCACGCATACGGACATGCAAATAGCTCTGTTGCAATGTTTCAAGTAAGCCGTTACGATGTCAGCCAGACGACGCCATAAACTGAAAACTCCGTTCCCGGTGCTTATTCAACTGCTTCAAACAATCTCCCCTGGTTCAGCCATAGGCTACACCATGCCGCCTTTTACTCAACAATTGTTTACATTTCAACACCGCTAGGTATTCGGTTTCGTCCGAAACCATGTTCCTATCTGCGCTCGGACCGTCGATCAGTAAACTCTTGAGATCGACGATTCTCAAAATCTCCGGATTCGTCATGTACTATTGGTAGTACCGTACCTGATGGCTTCGTCTCGTAGATCGTGTAACATCCATCTGTTACATTCGACTACACAATACTGCCAGCTTACCAGTAGATGCGATGGCAACCATGGCCAGAACGTCCTCTTTACCCGCCCCTCACACCCCGATCAAGCCTCTAGATTTACTTAGTGCCTAGGTATCGAGTCGTTTCGTGGACTTGGCAGCTGTGAAGACCAAATTAAAAACCACCCGGTTCGTGCTGCAAGCAACCGTTACCTATGAAAGCCAATGGCAGCTCGTGTAGTTGTGGCCGCCTACCTTGGCGCAAGCACGCCTATGGGATGCTTTCCTATACCTCCTATATCATGCATCTCCGTGCCTGATTGATCTAGCTGCTATGGCAAGGGTATTATACTCGGTTAGTTATAGTGCGGTTGTTGATACCAATCTACAATTTAGTCGATCGGGCTAGCCGCGAGAGAGCTATCAGACTGCTCTCCTCGAATATCCCCCCTTGTTATGTTTGAAATCCATATGATGTTCATATCCAGGAAAATCCTCTCGGATGGCTAGTGCCGGAGCGGTGAATCTATTCAAGTCATCAAAGATAATCGATGAATCGCCCTCCTACGATAGCATATCGCAGCCCCTCATGCTCATTACAGGAGCTACGTGGTGACCCAAGCAGGACTTTGAGCCGTCCCCATTCTCCTTAACCCGCGTACTCACCAATGACCTGAGCCAGTGCTTGGAGACATCTTTATAATAATGCAGGGAGACATGGTTGTTGATTGGTATGCACTTTGCAGCAGAGTTACATGGCTCGAGTCGCCAGCTAACTGCTAAAGGATTCATGCGTGCCCGTCCGCAGAATCTTGGCTATCCATTCGACGAATCGCCATGAACTGCCGGCTGGCGAGACTGGACGATGGGCAAATATATTGAAAAGAGAACCAAGCATTCGCATCGCATATACGTAGGAATGGTTGGGCCCTTCTGAACTGGAACCTCCCAGTATCATGGCCTGATTACATAACGTCAGAGTAAGAAGGACACAAGGCAAGATACGCTTCCGTCGACAGAAGAAGTCGTACGGTAGATGCAGCTATCCACGACGCCACGCGACCTTGTCAAATTGCCCTAGATATATGTATGTAGATAGGTACATAACATATGTGCCTATGTTTCCAAGGGGTACGACATTCGGCACCCTCCGCGTAGTGGGACAGCAGCACAGATTTAAACACCGAATTCATCGTTGGGCTAGATGCCGTGCGACGACGTTTAAAAACTGCATCCCCCCTTCGCTCGTAGAATTTGGAATGAGTAGTGGCGCTCATCCCGTCTCGATACTGGCTCAATTCTTTCCTCTTCCTCTTGGGGAAAACGCCACTAGGGTACGTGCATAGGAGCTATTCAGCACGAGCCAATATGCGACTAGAGCTAAGGGACGAAGACAAGGGCTTTATGTGCGACCAGGACCAGGGTCGCGACAGGGATCCAGCCGCCTTTGTCCGCCTCCACCTCGTTTGCCCATGTGTATTCCGTACGTAAATGCCCAGGCGACCACAGGTACATACATACTCCTCATGTTCAAATTCAAATACACGTTCACCATGTGTCCATGCCTACCGTTATCCCAGCAGACCGCCTCCTTTGGATCGCACGGCAGAAGCGTTGCAATGCATCTTAGATCCTCTGCTGGGTATAATAATGACACCAGAAATGCGTCTCGGTTGTGTGTGTAAGTGCTGCGCTGCAAGCTTTCAGCGTGTAGAGAGGAAGCAGGGCAACAAAGGGAACCGAGGTCACGCAGCGGCCGGGAATCGTCTAGTGTTGCCCTTGTTCTTTAGAGTTACCTTGGCTTCCAGTAGCGTAGATGGTGAACGATGATGGGCGATAGTCAAGTGACGGACCACTGCCGTTCGGTACCATTCACGAGTTGAGAGTCCCATGTACCCCCCATGTTACGTTAAAAAGAGGCTACATGCCTTCTTGGCCGAGATGGGTACGATGGGTACGATGGGTACGATGGGCGCATGGTGCAGACCTGCCCCGGATTTTCATTTAAGACGAGAGGACCTCCCTGAAATGGTGGACAATGGGTCGCCTTGTGCGTTGCACGGAACAAATGTAACCTCAGGTACACACGTAGAAGCTCTGGGCACAGTGGTAATTTTGCAATTCTTGCCAATTTTTTAAACTTCCACTTCGAAACCTTAGTGTTGATCTAGTAAACTTTCTCTCCTCGTCGTTCCTGAGCCTGATCCTTTCCATAGGTAGTGCGTCCGATTTACCTATTTGGGTTGGTCTTACATCGATTACCGCTGTTGTCTTGGCTTTTGGCTCACGGAGCAAGCTTCAAGCCCTCATGAGACGGTCATGCGCGACATGGGACGGTCCTATGCAGATAAGGAACTGGCACTTTATCAAGACTTGAAAATATACTTTCTCTCAAGTCTCCCATACCTTTCCCGATCCTTGACTCAAATTAGCGACTTCGGCCGCTAAACTACCTATATCTTCATATCTTCATCCGAGGCTACCAGTTACTAGGAACTCTTCCCAAGCCAACTACATATCTACGACTCTACTACCTCGGCGATTTCATTCAGGCGGAGAAAGAAGGACAGAATGCAACTCACAATGGGTCGACCAGCAGACGGCCGGCAACAGCTGAGTTCAGCTCGGCAAGCTCCTCATAAGTCGGACGCATACAGACAGGGCCAGACGAGACAACGGCATGCTAAGTCACAGCCCTTTGATCCCGACGACTTGCGTCGGCGACTGTACGTCGTTCTCGCGGAGCAAGAAGCAGCGAAGGAGAAGAAACGGAGAGAAAGGCCAGAGAAGCGGAGATCGACACAGAGCAACGCTCTGGATACGCCGACGAGCAAGTCGGACACACGTAAGATGGGCTCTACCGTACCCAAATCAACAACCACGAAGCCGGGGCCCAGCGAGATGAGCTTCGCGGCAAGGATGGCAAGAAGGAAAAGTTCGGCGTCAGAAATGGCCAAGGAAAACGTAGACCCATCTTCGGAACCCAAAGCTGGACGGTCCATGTCAAAGTCCGTACGGGAGAAGCTACGGCGCAAGTCATCGAAAGTAGGACCGACATCGATGGAGAAGGAGGACGCCTTGAATGTCTCGTCGTATCACCACGTGCCTCAGGAAGCAGCCTCGCAGTTCGAAAGGACGGCTACGGGCAGCGGCATGCGTGAGAGGAATCTAGGACACAGTTCATCACAACCATCAGTCAAGCTTCAAGTTGAAAGTCGTCGCCCTTCAGACCAAACCGAGTACGACCCAAGCATCACACCAATGCAGCAGCATCGCGCTTTAGAAAGGGTGCATAGCCGCCGTGAACTGCACCACGAACGGAGCCTATTCCAGAACCCTCATCCGTTCTCAGACGAACGTGGCAGCTCGGACGAAGGTCACCGACGGCATAGCATTATCGGACTAGCACCTGTCAGATCGAGGAGGAAGAGCAGCTTCGGTGATATCCTAGAGAACGAGGCACTTACGATTCACCCAACTGGAACGTTCGAGCTACCGGCCGACGAGATGGCGTCGGAGGAGACGTTAGCAGTGGATCCAGCAACGGCCCACGAACACCGGGTCGACTGGACGCAGAGCGACGAGATCCACGAGAAACCCAAGACGACGGCGAAGATCCCCCTGCTTAGGAAGGCGGACTCGCTGTGGACGTTGAAGGGCAAGATAGGCGGCTTAGCCAAGAACGGCCAGCACCACCACGAGAAGACGGGCGCGATGCGAGAGAAGCACGAGCAAGGGCTTGCGTCTCATTCGACGCCGAAGTTCCTCAGGATGGGGTTCTTGACCAAGTTCAAGCGATGAGCTAGAGGGGAGAGGGGGGAACCGCGCACGACGTTAATGAGTATATCTTAATGACTGCACTTAATAATGAGCATTGCGTACATAGTCCATGCTGTGGCCCATTGCAGTTCACCTAGGCAGTTCACCTAGGCAGATGCATGCCTGTGAATACGTCTTGCTTGTCCGGAGAGAGACTGGCCCTGATAGCATGGAGAGACTCTCGCTGATACGCATCTACATGCGCTTGATCCCTCTGATTCTGCTGTGCATATCTCTCTAGGGGAAAGGAAGTGGGGAAGGGGATGGGACTGTGCTCTAGGCCGCTGAAGGACAGCTAGATCATCCGAACTCGATCGACTTTTCTTCTAGTTGATCCTCCTTCGATCACAGGCACTAACCTGACTCAGCCTCTGGCTGACGGTCCGTATGATTTATAATATTCGTATTGCTGCGTAGTTTGTTGCAGTTGTTGTCGATGCCGGAATTAGTGCACAGTGGTGTTCTTCTCCTGGCGTGGAATAGGAGGCCGGAAAAGCCGGACATTGCTCTGTGAATCATCCATGTTTCGAATACCGCACGCATATGTAAGCTGTACGGACCGCTGTGGCCGAGAGAATAGCTTGAGTCCTGGATTATTTTGCCAATTTTGCGATGAGAAGAACATTATAACAGGAAAGACAACTTCGAGCTGGAGAATTAGATAGACTTAGTAGGTATTGGTAGTGGCATCCAAAAAGCAGTCGTCGTAAGCTAGAGAACTGATCGCCGCCTACTGCTAACAATGTGGGGCTTATTGCAGGATATAGTGCAATTTAACAGACATTCCGTCAACGCCAAGGGCACCAATCAGAGTTCCTTACCAGCGGCACCCAAATGGCGCAGTGGCAGAGTGGTCTAATGCGATAGACTAGAACGGGCTTCCTAGGAAGTTCCTCTAGCTCATCTATTCCCTTCGGGGGCGTCTGTTCGAATCAGGCCTGCGTCGACATTTCTTTTTCGCTTTTTCTTATTTTTTTTTTCTAATTGCGCTTTTTGCGCTTTTGGGGTTTGTTGCTTGGTATAAAAAAAAATCTTTTCTTTTCTTTCTTTCTCTTTTAGCGCCCGGCCAGACACTACGGAATGTTTTGATATCGGTGAGTTTCTGGTTCTTTCGGTACGTCTTAGGCAAACTGGGGACTCCGTAGTATAGGTAGTCGCGGGCTATTCCGTAGAGTATTGACAATAGGTGTTATCTTCGCCCGGGACTTCTCAGCTGCCTCTCCAACATCCCCAGACTTTGGCTAGGTGTGAAGTCACCAGTGGTTTGACCCCCATATGAGGAGTTAGAAGCTGGTGTTGTTTTCTACCGCCCTCGGGGACCCCATGGAACTTGCGCCGGCAACTGCTAGAAAGAAGGGAGGCGCGCAACCTTCAGTCTTTATCAAAAGCATTCATATCCGCGCCTCGTGGTTCAACCTCCGATTTTGGTCCCGTCTCGCTATGTACAAGGCGAAGGATAAGAACGGCGAGAGGATAGATTACTTAGACTGCATGCTGCACTTGTAGAATTAACTGGACGGGCGGGCAAACACGACGTATTCGCTGCGTTAGGTAAGTCTTTCTGGGACTGTACGCCGTCAGGGCTGACAAGATTCCAAGCGTGTGGACCACGTTGTTGTCTTTTCTGTGTCCTGATACACGGTCAGGGAAGGTCGTACGTTCAATGTTCAACTACAAGTTGTAAGGCTGTGAGTCACCTATACTCACAAATCTGCAATACATCTATATCCATGTTGAAGAAATATTATCACTGTAGGACTGTGTTGGCTACAAGTATGGATGTCAACAGGTACTTACGACAGTAGTGAATATTGGATTCAAAGCACCTACCGAATGATGATTTGAGGTGTACAAACCATAAGACCATGATCCTGAATGCTTTGATATCCACGCAAAATGCCTTACTACAATAAATCCCAGTCATTTGTGTGCTTCTAATCATCCACATCAGCAGTGAAGCGACTCGTAAGCTGAGCAGAGGTCAACCAGGAATCCTCAGAAAGGAGGCAGAAGAATATTAACACAGTATCGGCTTCACAGGTACCCGTACAGTATTTGCGACTATAAATATTTATATACAAACATAATTTACTTCATGGAATCACGCTTGGATAGGATTCCATGACGAATGGTGACTACACCGAAGCCAGTTCTCGAATGTCGGTGTCGAGCCATATGGCACGGACTTACTCATGCTCTTACGATCATTTTAGCCATCAGACCTGCCATTACCTCAGAAGGGTAGTCGGCATTTCAAGTCCAAAGAGCCTGGCGTATATTTGACTTCACTCATCTCACGCGAGTATGGCTCCGGACACCGCCGTCCAGAAGACGATGAGTACAGAGAGCCCGGATAGAAGGCGTTGAGCTCAGCAGAGGTGATATAGATGTGTTCTGTTAGTCATAGCAATGGAGGTTCTACTACCTGTCTACGATGGGATTGTGCCCTGGCGGTTGGACGGGCTTGATCTTCGCCACAGATGTGACGCATGCCTTGCTGGTCATGCTCATTCCGACTCAGTTCATGTTTGCTCCAAAAGTATCTATCTGAGTTGGCCGTACTGACGTGCTTGAGCTTTGAGCTGAGGAGTCACCTACACGACGCAAGCATTTACTGCACCGTAGCCCAGACGAGTGTTTAAATCTGACCTATACAGACGTGGGCAACAACACGAGAAGAGAAGCAGAAAGCGACGTGTCATAGAGCCAATGAGATAGACATTATAAATATAATATATTTGGGTCGGACGAATCAGCGAAATACCGTGAGTCGTATGAGACGGCGTAGGTAAGGCCCAAGAGAACCTGAAGAGCGTAGTCATAATCCACCCTTCACTGGATCTAATACTACCTTATCCGTAACATATCACGATGGCTACATTAAGCGAATACCAGCAAATAGCCCTCACGGAACAGTCCATGCGGGAGAGAGACGCCATCTTGCCGCCCATCACGCCGTACCCCTTCATCCCACCAGCGGTTTTCCTTCGGTCCGGAAGGGACGGGCAAGTTATGCGGCCGCAGTCTTTCGATTGTCAAGTCAGTAGGATCCCAAGTCCTCCATGTTCTTAAGTCGCTTATCATCTCGTCGCCAAAACCCCCAGTGACCCCCTCCCTTCCCCTCCCCTATCCCCGAACCCTGAAGTCCACCAACATTACTCCACTAACAGACCCATCCAGAACCGCAGATTCAGCACCTACGGCCGCGCCTGGTCGGGCCACATCCGCGACGTGCAGCACTGGCGCAAACGCATCGAGACGGGCCAGGACCTGCCCCTGACGCAGCGCGAGCTGCTAGCGGGCAACCGGCTCATCTGCCTAGACTACCTGTGCGACTACGTCGTCTGCCCGGACGCGTGCCTGCGCAGCAGCAGCGCGGGCACCACGCTGTTCCGCGACGAGTGCCTCGCCCTGCTGCAGCGCCGCTTCCTGCTGCTGCCCTACGAGGAGGCCGGCGTCTTCGTCAACGTCCTGTACGACCGCCGCGCCGACGCCGTGTCCACGTTCGACGGCGTCGAGCGCGGGCGCGCGACCCGCCACGACAACGCCGTCGCGGCCCTCCGCGCGCTCGTCGAGCGCAGCCGCCTGCCGCCCATCCCGCTCGTGGAGGACCGGATGCAGAGCCGGCGGATGAAGGGCGGCGAGGACCGGTACCACGGGTACATGGCGCTGGAGGGGCCGCGGGTGTTCCTGCGGGAGACCTGCGCCGCGGCCGAGGACTGGCGGGATTGGACTTCGTCGATCCTCTACAAGACGCGGAGGGTGCAGCAGATCACGGAGACGCAGGCTCGGGTTACGTGGAAAAAGATATTAGACGAGGTTTGGGAAGCTTGGAGTAGTTGGTAGTGTTACTGGGAAGACCGACTTGAGATCCCGCAAGAAGGGATTTGATAGTATCCATGTTGTAAGCGGATGTAGCCCATGTGGGCATATTATGTATAGCAGATCTGATGAAAGTCGGGCAATTCAGTTGAGAGATGTTGTGACAACACTCCAGATGAAGTTGAAACATAACGATCTCATTTGATTACTATAATTACCTACTCGACTATGCTAGCTAGGAAGCAAGGATGCTATCGTATAGAACTAGGTCAAACGTGTAGAAGCTGAAGGAGCGGCAATGACTATTGGTGCCTCCGTAGAAGGTATTTCGGCTTGCCTGCGGTTCCTTTTGCTGTTTCCCAATACAAGTCTAATGAGACTGCCCTGGAGCACGCAGATATGTCGGAAATGATAAAGGGGAGAATTGTGAAAGAGCTGGGGGAGTAGGTGACCTGTCATTGGGAGATACGTCCTGCTTCTGCGCAGGACAGCAGGGCCGTGTATTCAACCGTCCAGCATCACTGGCTGAGTTCAGTCTAATAATAGTAGAATATAAAGGACACTATTAGATAGCCTTCCCCGGCAATGGTTAGACGGTTTCTGCAATCAAGTCATGGACAGCAGGCTTACAAGTAGTGTTCCTGATTTCGCATATAACAGCTGTACGATATTGGGGAAGTAAAGGGAGGTGGGGCGTGTCGAGGTATATAATACTCCTCGCTGCCCTGATGGGAATTTTTGGTCGATATAGGTGAAGTCCAGTTACACATCGGACTTCTCGGCTTTTATAAGCTCCCCAATGGCTCTGGCATTGTCTTTCGCGATTTGCTGTCGGATATTGGCCTCCGCGTTGGCGGATTCCCTTCGAGCCGAGTAGATTCGAACTAGCTCACAATACTCCCTGAGAGCGTCTCTATCGTCGCCAGGGCCGTCTCGAGTCCGACGGAGAACCTCGATGCCGTTCTCATAACCCATATCCTTCGTCCAAGGCTGATTGGCCTTACGGTAGCCTCTATTGGATCCGTGGGTCGCGCCAGGCTTTCCACTGCCGGTACCATCACTGTTAGGGGGATCTGTTGCTGCAGCGATGTTCCAAAGCAGATACTCTAGGTTAGGATACCGTCGAGTGAGCTCCTTGTATTCTGGCATGTCAGCGATTTCTGATCGCTTGAAGGTACCGGACTTCTCCTGAGTGTGCAAGTCATCTTGGGTGTCATCTTGATTACCGCCACCCTTGGATGGCGCCGTAGAAGTGGTTTCTGACTGTGGCGGCGTAGAGGCTTCTACAGGCGGATGGTTATCGCGATGCTCTCGGAAGCATACGAGCGAACATCTGTGATGGAAGTGAGAAGAAGGTATAACACAAGTTATAAGATTCCACCCACGTATATAGGTTACAAAGAGTACACTTATATTTGCCCTCATCCGTATCGCAAACGACGCAGCTTTTAGGAAGCCCCATGGTTCAGACCAGATTACGTTCCTGCTCTGTCGTAGCTCGGAGATGCCATTCACGATGAATAAAAGATGGGGGCGAAATAGCTGTCCTTTAGATGGGACGAAAGACTTCCAAATAATAGTCGTTGCTATAGGCAGCCACAAATTAGGCACCAAGGACTATACAGCTTGAGTGGAGTTTCACACTGCAAGATACCGAAAAGGTTAACCTGCTCTGGGAGTACAGTAATTCCGTCTCTTCCCTTATATTGGTACAGCCGAGACCCGTTTCTGTCACTGGCCAGGGAAGAGTTTGCTGCTCCTCTCCTCGTTGGCTTCAGACCTTTGCCTCTAAGCAGCTAAGCTGGAGAGCCTGCCGCACATAGGCTGAGCGATGCAGTGTGACGCCTGGTCTACATCCAAATTCGTGAAGGCGAAGGGCCGGCGGTTCTTCAAGAAACAGAACTGAGTGGAGTAAGACAACCTTCAGAACAGTTGTACAGATGGATGGTTAGTGAGGCGTAATGTATACCTTATCAGTGAAACCAAATCGCAGAATTTTAACGGGACGAGGGCGGGAGAATATGAACTGTGAGGCTGAACATGTAATGGGGTTCGTCGAAGTGTGGCTTGAGATCTGCAAAAGTGATGAACAAACCGATAAGGAACCAGTTCGTCCGGTGAATC